ACAACGATTCACGCACTTTACTTACGGTCACTACCGCTCACTTGACTCAATTACCTGTCCCTATATCTCTCTATCTGCTATTTGCAAATTATATATGCCGTCACTCTACCTCCGCTTTATTTGCCGGGCTTATATACAAAAATAGAGGGCGTCTGGCAAACACTAGAGTTGCCAAGAACAGTCATGATCCTTCTAGAAACTCATGACGTGTTACCAGCGTCACGTGACTTCCGCTGTCGTAACAATATGATAAAAATATGCAAAGCCCACTTTACGAAAAAGAAAGCACTTTATTTACTTTAAGACAAGTGCTATAAGCTCACCATTTAAAATGTACAGCATTAAACTGACTTACTAATTAGCTAACTAACTTTTGTACAATATCTTCCCAAATTCTCAAAAAAACTTGATGTCACATGCTCATCCCCTCATGTCAAATACAGACTGTCGCGAAATTTTTAAGTGTTAAAAATTGTCACTACGTCATAGTAGAACTCATTCCAGCAAACAATGAAAAAAATTTAAATTAACATATTGAAACATAGTTCATAACAATACAATACTGTTGAAAGATTTTAGAAATTAATGTTCATCCAGCTATAATAGTCTACAAATAAATCGGAAAATGAAATCATTGAACCTGTTACGGGACCGTCTAAAATATTTTTATTGTAAGGTATTTGTCTTTCACTCACCACACTTAATTAGACAAGTCATTTAAGATAAATGTAATATTTTTCTCTCATCACTAAAATTATAGTCCCCCCACTGGGAGGGTGGTAACTTTACGGTCTCACGAATGTGAGGTTCAATTTCCCACAGTGGACACAGCAAATAGCCCAAAGTGGCTTTGCAGCAAACAAACAAACTCACTAGAATTTAAAATTTTGACGAGAATGAAACATGAAACCCAATGTTACTGATGAAACCGATCTAACTTAGTGACAAGTGGTGAATCGAATAATAGACTGAGTATTGTGTTTTTATTTGTATGTGTTTTTTTTTGTTGTTGTTGTTGTAGAAATTTCCAATACTGGTGACTGGAGAAATGATTAACGATAAAAAAAAAAACTACATAAAACAGCTTTTCTGGTTATTAATCCACAAGAACAAATTAGTACATTATCGTTACATATTCTTCAAGCATCTTTACAGATACATGTTCATTTGGCCTGGCATGGCCATGTGGTTAGAGCGCTCGATTCGCAATGTGAGGGTCGCGGGTTCGAATCCCCGTTCCACCAAACATGCTCGCCCTTTCAGCCGTGGGGGCATTATAATGTGACGGTCAATCCCACTAGTCGTTGGTAAAAGAGTTGGCGGTGGGTGGTGATGACTAGCTGCCTTCCCTCTAGTCTGACACTGCTAGATTAGGGACTGCTAGCGCAGATAGCCCTGGTGTAACTTTGCGCTAAATTAAAACCAACAAACATGTTCATTATGATGAGCAAAAAAGACTTCTCAAACACCCAACACAGTGTTAACAAAGCATTAGTCTGCTAGAGGGGACTCATCATTTTGACGTCAAGAAGCTAGTGATTTTGGGTGATATCTAGAAACAAGAGTACATTGTTTACAAATATGTTTAACCAATTAATGATGAGTATTGAGTAATGAATGGGAAGTTAATAAAAAACCAATGAAGTATTTAGCGACTAAATCTGTTCAGTTAGTTCAGTATCAGAAAAATTATTCAGGAAGAGTTATCAATACTACTATGATTTTCAGTTACTTGGTGAGTTACTGTTGTTTGTTGATCGATTAGCTTTGAGATGAAGTGTTATAAGTTGGGCATAGTTTCGCAGTTTATATTGAAACGTTGCATTTTAAGTTAGGCCTACATTAGTTTCAGAATTTATGTTGAAGTTAGGCCTACAAGTGAACTTGGCTGCAATAATGTTTATTGAAGAAATAAGGTAACTTGTTATGGTTACTTGGCATTATTTTTGTTAAATGATCCAAAAGAACCCAATGAGTTTTGTCTTTATTTAGGGTAAGTGTTGTGGAGGTAACCAACGAAGCCTTTCTAATTCTGTGTCAAGTGTAGAATAATATGCTAAAATTCACGTTAATTCCCGCCGAAAATTATAATTCTGGTAATGAGGGAAACTACTTACATTAAAACATTTTATTAATCTATCAAAACTGGATTGTTTGAGAGGATTAAACCTCGCCATTAAACACAAACGAGGCCTAACTTTATCAACAAAGTCGAACTAGAGTATAATGAGGTCTTTGCTTTTCCTCGAGAGATTCTTACACATACTTTTTACACGAAAAGAAAATGAAAAGGTATACCAAAGAGGCTGCTAACGAATAATACTAAAACAAACGACAGCTGTGAAACAAAATAAAAAACGAACAACCTACACATTAGCTAACCGTACTTAACTAATTCGTTTAACTTTATTCTCATCTTTAGTACAGCTGCATAGGTAGAAAGAGTGACAAATAAGGTCAAAAACTGAGTTTAGTCGATTCACACAGGAACAGATTAATAGTTAAAGATGTAGACAGACAAATAACAAGATAAATAGGTAAGTAGCAGGAACGTCGAGAGTCAGTACGGGCTCCGGGGCAAACGTCCTCGCCGAGCCCCCTTTCTCTATCTCTTTTTTTTTTCTCTCTAACATTTTCAAGAATTTAATTAAAAAGAAG